TGCTTTGTATTATTATTATTATTATTATTATTATGTTATTATTATTATTATTATTATTATTATTATTATTATTAATATTATTATTATTATGTTATTATTATTATTATTATATTGCAACTATCATTTTTTACTAGCTTACTAAGTATAAAAGCCATCATGTACTTTGTAGCAAAGCTAAATTGTAGTATGCCTATTCAATTCAATTCAAATTTATTTGAGTCTAGAGGTTACAAGCAAAAATATAACATACAAAGGGGAACATCCAACAAACATCACGAAATAAGAAGATGGCACAGCAATAATCTCACATTCTAAACATTTTACATCAAAAATACAAAGGTAGCAAAATCACAACACCAAGAATGCATGAGAATCAAAACAAGCACTGAATGAAGCACAATATAAAAAAAAAAAAAAACAAATCATGGACAAACAGATTTGCACTTTAACTTTTATTATTATTCTTTTATTAATTTAATCAAAATTTGGATAACTACAACAAAAAAAAAAAGAAAAGAAAAATCGAAATAATAAGGATAATTAAAAGGAAAATGACAGGCAAATCAGCAAAGAGAAAAAACACATTGCGAAACAACGAGATAACTGATCAGCGAACCCCATGTTTGACTGAGGGAATCAGTTGTAACTTAATGTTGAGAATTAAGCAGGTATACAAAAAATGGAATCGGACTGTTTTTATACCTATTTGTACCTACATCTGATTTGTGATATACGGTTGTAGTTACGAAGGGTGTATTCCATTAGTTGACACCTACGCTCTGGAAGCCAATTACAGAATTCTGGATTATTTTGCAAATGCTTAGCAAAACTGTTACATCTGAGACAAGCTTCATTATAGGTAATGTAGTTTTTCTAAAGATAGTTCTTAGATCTTTTTTGTAATCTTTCTGAAGTTTTTATATGTCCTGGGGGTCAACCCAGCATTTCAGAGAGGGGAGGCATATTATAGTAGTGACCTAATGTAACCTTTGTAATTCGTAAGAAGTTCATCTTCCGAAAGGCAAAATCTTTTTAGGAATTTTAACATTACACAGTTTTTCAACATATTTATCCCATTTGAGGTTTTCACTTACTATTATGCTTAGTATTTTGACACAATCTATTTTAGACATAACTTTTTTCTGTAGACTGAGATCAAATTTGGGTGTTCTTTTCACAAAGCACACTTGCATATGGTGACATTTATCAACATAGAGCTGCATCCCATTGGCATTGGACTATGATTCAATATAATATAATTGGCACTGCATATTATTTTGATGATAGTCTATTCCATCAGGACAATAACAATTACTATCAACATTGCAGTACCCGCTGCTTACTTTGACTTGAATTCAACCCTAGCCCATCAGGCGCAAGCTCGGTGGTCTAGAGGTATGATGCAAGGCTAGTGATCTGAAGATTGTGGGTTCAAGTCCCACCCGAGAACAACGTGCGATTTGTTTCGCAATTGTTTTCACACGTACTGAGTATTCAATACATTCCCACGTCAGGTAGGGCAAAATTACACCTATACTTGGTTCGCCTAATGCAAATCCAATTATTGTCCATTTCCTCACGACAATAACAATTACTATCAATCATGATAACAATAATAATAATAACATAAATTCACGTGCCGTTTAATTGTAAGTTATCCGACTACTGTATATATTACTTTTTACATTGAATTAAGCTTATGAAATTACAGATTTGAAAATAAGTTAGTTGATTACATTGCATACTCTTTGTTTCTCGTTGTTTTAATTTTTTTTAAATCGGTTTTGGAATTTCGACATTAAAAAACATACATGAAGTCATTACGGTAGCTTGATGCCTATCAAATAACTAATAAAAATTTACCAGAATTCGTAAAATATCCGTAGCTTCCAGGGGGCTTTCACTGTGAGTCCTAGGCGGCTCCCCACCCCTCCCCCTAGCCAAGTGAGGCTCGATTTGCTCTCCTAGCGCCCCCCCCCCCCAGTCGGACCTTTAGCCCCCACCCCCTGTCGGGCAGATCCTGGAGCAATCACTGTTTAACGGTATAGTTAACAGCACCCCTGCTTACCGCTCGACCAGGCACATATATTTGTGTATGATGGAGTGTGTATTAAGTAATGAGTAGTTTAAAATGAGAAACTAATTCCCCTTCCGCTTCCCCAGGTGAACATCTCCACTGAATGAATCGACAATGGATCTTTCCACTAAGCCCCACTTCTTGCAAATCGTGCAGTTTAGGAAAAAATGTGTGCTTATTTCTGGACCTGTTTTGATTGGTCGGTAGTTAAGTTTGATTGACATTCCGGAAATGTCCATGTTGAAGTGGACTATTTTTTTGTTCTCAACTAAAAACAGCTTCACTTTTAAAGCTTCACTGAGACCAGACTATCAAATTTTATTTTGACAAAAACATGTGACATACCTAAATATGGTCATGATGACATCACATCATGACCATATATGGGCACATCATGACTATACATGGGCATACAAGCAAAAAAATGATAATATGGACTAGGCTTTAGTTTACAGGGCACTTCTTGAAATGGTGATTGCACTTGCTGTTGAAAGGAATTAAAAAAATAAATAAATATAATTGTATAAACAATTATCTTAAAAAAACCCATTACAATGTTAAAGATAAGTTCATCAATGTTTTATTGCAGTCCACCATTAGCCTTATACTACATTTAACAGTGTTTTCAATTTTCAACATAATTCGGAGGTTCAATCTTTTCTTCCATTTCTTATTTATATTACGATAACAATAGTTAGGTAGGTAGAAAATACTATATATACATACTATATAAAACACCATCATTTGATAGTATTTATGAAGGTTTCATTATTCAAACTAGTGTAAAATATTATATATATATATACATATACAAGATGTGTATAAGAGACAGTGCATACACTGTACATAAACTTCAAAGAAACAAAGTAATAATAGAAACACGCGTGGTTTACACAGTAGTTTAGGTGATTTAATGCCGATTAATACACTCTAATGATGTTACCTATTGGTCCTATTTATTGTTTTACAGCAGTAATTCCAAAAATTTACAGCATTCATTTTGAAAAGAAGCACCCTCTACTTTGCAAAAGTAGCCTCGTGAAGAAGCCCATCCAAAGTTCGCAAAAAAGGCCAGGGCTTCTATTTGAGGTTTTACGGTACTGTATATGTATATTAATAATAATAATAGTGTGGTTTTATATAGCGCACATATCCATCTAATGTAAGATGCTCATCGCGTTTGATATGTGGATATTGTTATTATCATAGACAGCATCGATCGAATACGACAACCGATGATATTCTGTATACATACAAATACATAATCATCACTTATGAATTTATCTTTGTTATATATTCTTTTTAACTCAAACAATAGTGTATGAAAAATATGGTGAATGAAGCTGTCGGCTAGGATACTCGCCTTCAAGTACCAACATTATGTGTTCAAAGTGTCATAACATGAACCAGAGCATCGGGGCAAACCCTGTCTCTTATACACATCTAGATGTGTATAAGAGACAGTTTTTTAATCTATATATATATATATATATATATATATATATATATATATATATATATATATATACACACATACACACTACATACAGTACATATAAAGATGTATCAATGTGAAATGATGTAGCATGTTGTTCCATAATATAGTGGTGATGGCAATGACAATAAAAAAAAAATATGTCAGCTTAACTTTTGTTTTATTGTCATCGCCTTCACCACTATAGATAGATAGACAGATAGATAGATAGGTAGGTAGATAGACAGTCATCTGGGGCAGGAGGTTAGCACACCATTCTTTCAGTGCTGCAGGCGTTTATTCCCAACACCCTGTTGGTTGGAGACTGGGTGAGGGGAATGGCAGTCTTTAGGGCTGCAGGCTGTGATCAGGATAGTGGGCCACACTGTTTTTAGGATAAAAATGCATCTCACATATTTTTTTCTTTTCATTAATGTTGAGTTGGTGGATAGATAGATAAAAATCATTGCATATTCAGTTCATAATGTTTCCCATATTTTTCATGGATCGAGTGCATCTGCCTTTATCTCAAAATTATCATATTTACATTGACTCTTGTTACCTTTCTTATCCCTAACTTTTTGCAGTTTTAATTTTTTTCTACAATATTTTATCTTTTCTAACATTGCACTGGAGAGATTTACAACAGGGGAAGGGGCTTTTTTGAAAACCCCTAACCCCATCTTCATATAATAGAAGATAGCAGATATGGCTACATCAACATTTAACACAAGAATGGTAAGCACTATTTCACAGTTGTAAGCAAAGGTAAAAATCCTAAATATCGAGTTGTCTATTGGCTACATCATCCAATAGCAATCTTACTCTCCTCCAACTTGGGACCCCTGGATTATAGAGCATGGAAAGTTCTAAAATTTCAGACCCTTAATGCTCTAAAGTCAAATTTAATGATTAGCTCTCCAACAGTGGTGGCACCGGAAAGTTGCCAACAAGGGGCTGACGTGTCCGATGAAGGGGTCCAAACCAAAATGACGACGAAGCCTCGGTTGACGGCCTGGAATAAAAATATCCCTGTTAGGGTTTATGGGGAGACATTTTATGGCTTAATTTGGTCAACATTTTTTTTAGATCATAATATTAGGGATTGGCCATCAAAATAGCGTTATTTTTGGTCTGATGACCTCATCGGAAGACAGGGTGGTCCAGGCCTGTCCGACGGGTGGGCAAATGGCCCCCTGCACCCCGCTGGGCCACCACTGCTCTCCAACACTCATAGACATAGTTAAGATCACTGCTCAGTTTCGCTGGGTTATGTTACCCTCATTCAAAATTGTTTTATAAAATGTTTAAAAATCAAACCCCTACCAGGTATTAAAAATTTGCCTCATGTCTAGAGAACCCTGAATTCACTGCTAATTGAATCATGCATGGTATGACATGCATATTGGTTTATTGTAATAGGCACCATCTTCACAGATTTCAAAAACTGAACAATAAATAGTAAATAAAGTAAACTCATAAATAACAATAAAAATACAACATTGTTTTGTGACTTTCCACTATTTGGCTTATTTCAATTTAAGAAAAGTATATTTACATCTGGTTAATGACATACCATATTTATTCCAATAAGCACCCAGCTTTGAATAAATGCTCCCCTCGAATAAACACCCCCTTCAAAGCCTCATTTGGAATAAACACCTTCCTCAAATAAATGCCCTGAGGCATTTATTTTTTCCATGAATACATGTCCCCTAACTTACTGTAAACAAAATTATGGAAGCAACATAATTTTCAACACATTCTATTAATAAATATTAGAATTTTACACTAAAAACTTTAATACCTCCCTCAAATAAATGCCTCTCAGAAACCCTCCTCAACAATAAACCCCGCAGAAAATTGTTATTATGTGCAGCGTTTTAACAAATGTAAATAACGAAAAAAAAACAACTACATCAATTGAAAACAGCAGCGAACTAAACATTCAGTGATAAATCCACAACAATTATTATTAGCACACATTCATCCATAATTGATTGTTGAAAGTGTGAACATCCACAGCAATGCCAATGCTGTAATTGGCCAAGATGTAGACAGTTCCTTGCTCTTTATCGCCAAACGTTATATTATTTGAATATCACATACGCCAGAATTGACAGTATAGCCTTTACATCCAGCAAACATTGGTGGCATAATCAATGCAGAGCCGCCTTCTGTACTTTACAACAACCCTGCCAAGACAATAAAACCAAAGAAAATTATAATTGAATGTCAATTTCACTTAAAATAAACTTATTTGTACATGCAGGCACAGATCAATGCAGGGTTACCCTGCACTGGGCCATGTAGTTTGCTATTGGCACTACCGCCGAGATGGGGTAGGGGGTTAGTTGGGGCCAGTGCTCCGCAGGGTCCCCCTAACCTAGACAAAAAAAAAATATTCAATAACCTTAGTATAGAAAATAATATTTTGATCTAATGTCTTTGTGTCTGTTATTGTTTGAATTAGGAATCTAACTAAATGAAACATGGATCCTACTGGGTGTCTCAGCAAGCCGGCTCCTGGACCACACTTTTGGGGCACTGGCAGCTAATTTTAAGATGCTGGAACCAATATTGGGACCTGTAGATCAATTGCTAATAAATATTTGCACCATCTGTAGGCCTAATGACTGCCAGATTAAGGTCATGTCTCTAACCCTCCCATTTTCCACTGTTTTATGATTAAGTAAGTCAGCGCTTCCCAAACTATTTCCCAGGAAATAATTTTGTTGACTGGTTATGAGATTATGGGGTAGGTAACTAGTTTATTAATCATTATAACCACACCTCTGTGAGGGCCGATGTTCTTATGCAGCCATTTTGGTAAAATGTTGCACTACAGGTATTAATTCGAAATAAGAACTATTCTTTAAAGAGAGCTTAAAACATATACTTTGGAAATTCTTAATTCAAATTGCTTTTTGGTACATTTCCCAGAGTACAATTATCACTTGGAAAGGTCAGCCACAATCTGGTTTCTATTAAACAGACATTCAATAAACCACATTATATGGGTACAGCTAATTAGATAGTGGGGGTAATAAAGTTCTTGTGTATTGCTTTAATATTTATGTTTTCAAGCAATAGGGCACAATTACATAACCAATATTACATGCATGATAAAATGCATAACTAACATGTGCTTGGAAATTCAAGTTTTTGATTGTTTAGAAACTTTAGACGAATTTGATGACGTCAGCGTCACGACGCACAAGCATGGACGATTGCAATGGTTCCTATTGCTTTACAGCATATAAGAACCAAAAGTCTTTTTCTTATTCCTGTGACACATATGATTAGTTCTTTACATGCACAAGGATGCTTCAGTGATTCAATGAAAAACATTGGAGGGCCACTTTTGGGGTTACGACCCACAACTTGGGAATCGTTGAAGTAGGTTGTTATTTCAGCCAGAAAAAGTTACACAGTAGGAAGGTTTTAATATTCAGTTAACGGTGTATATACACTCAATCTAACAATAATACGCCCACCCTGGAAGATGTATATCAATCCGAATCACAATATTGTTATTGTATTATAAAATAACCTTATACCCACTTTGAGGATACTATCGCATCTGTCACGTGTCCAAAAATAACTTTCACAAATATTGTTGTTCTTCTTCTACAGTTGTCTGATAATTCACATATTTTGTTAGGCGTAATCATTTAGTGATAATAGTCATCAAACTCCTTGACAAATTATCAATAAGTGTTATAAAGGCAAGTGGTGTATAAGTTAGTCAATAACTGTTGGTCAGCATAAACTTATCGAATTTCAAATTGATAACACTCAAGACTGAAATATATTTTTATCAAACCAAATACCACGAGTTTCCCCTAGATAACTAAACCACTCTGCCCTAAATATGTGTATCATAGCCAAGTTTAAAGCAGGAGGGGTAAGGGGTAGACCACCTTTTTTCCAGAATCCATTTTAAAAAAACAAAAAAAACAGAAATTTAACCCTAAAAATATTCCTAAAATACATTCCATTAGTTATTTATATAATAGATTATTGGTAGTGGCTATTGTTACACCACTCTTAAATATATTCTTAATTCTGATTGGATATTATTCTATGTATGGATTAACTGCACTTAGCGTTGTTGGCTCGCGTCGCACTTTCGTCATGAGGCAAACTTGTTTACCTCATTTTATTTATTTCTTTTCATTTGTTTATTTAAATTTGCATTTAGAAAATGGATAGGGACTGTTAAACCCATGGAAGAGCCAACTGCCCCTTAATCAAAGAAAAACAAAAATGAACTAGATGCAAGTTAACAAACAATTTGAAAAGAGAGTATGATAAAATGATCATAATAAAATTGACAATAAAAAGAAAAATAACATACTGAATTCAATAACATAAAAAAAATATATAAAAATTCAAAAAGAAAAAGGAGATGTAAATTAAAAATATATATATACCATCAATCAACAATTTTAAATGAAATATAATACAATAATCATTCCACAATATCAAAACTGGTGTCCCACTCACCAACAACATCTTTGTGTGGGCTATTTCAAATTGACATTGTATCTGGCCACTGACAAGATTATACTTACATCCATGATCTCAAAAATCAGCATATTCAGTCCCAAGAAGTCCTCGACATAGAAGACTAAACTCTTTCACAATATCACGAAATTGCCGTTTATTCGTCCTCTCTCTGAAAGTAAGATAAAATAGATTTAATTTAATTTTTAATTTTTAACATCTAACTTTTAGAATGATGGACTCTGCAGGCCCGTAGCCAAGTTCTTCCAAGGGGGGTTTTCTGGGCGTGAGGTCCACAGTCGAAGCCCCGGTGGGGTCGGCGAAACCCCGAAAGCAAGAGGATTTTTGTGCTTTATGGGTCTAAATAATGCTATAAAAGCAGATATGTTTGAAAATGTCTGTGTCTGGGTGGGTCTGCAGTGCATTAGTTGGGTTGGAGGACTCAATTTTGGAAATTTAAAGAGCGGGTTTCGCCAGAAAAGAAGGGGAGGGGGGTTTGCTACAAAAAGGGGGTTCTCCTGAACCATAAAAACACCCCCTGGATACAGCCCCATTGGGACCCACTGCAGCAGCAGTGCAGTGCCACCTAACTTATCTACAACATACAATGGACACATACGGATGCAAACATTGTCCCTAACCCTCCTAACTCCCAATGTGAGAGCTATTTGAGGAGCTAAGCCATTAGGCACCAATTAAGGTCTTCAGTACAAGAAGCAGGAACAATATCAGCCAACCATTCAGCTTAAACTAAGATCAACAAATCTAATTACAACTTCTGAACTTCTCATAAATACAAAATACATGTCATTCAAGTTTTAAGGTACTGATAACCGTACTAGGGCAGGTCCAAGCTATTTGAAAATGTGACGTACGGGACATTCAGAGACTCAAATGGTTCTAGTTCAAACACATAAGGCAAATATTTGAGCCTGTCCTGCTTCATTATAACATTTATTTAAGCTGATTTTTTTGTATATTATTGAAAAGTTTATATACCTTCATTAACGAGGTTTAAACCTAATTAATGTTTCACCACGTACAGTACATGAAGTAAAAGTGACTTGAAAAAACAATAGTTAGCATGCAAAACGCTCCAAAATTACCAATAGTGTAATTATTTTACCATTATTCATGGATATTGTATCTATCTGACTAACTTATGCCAAAGTGTTGTACGAAACTATCAAATCGTTTTTACGGAGTAAACCCGTTATGTATATTTCGTCAACGTGACATACGGGACAGTGGATTACGGGACATTTTTTTCCATATGTATAATAATAATGATGTAATTGTATTTATTACTTCAACATTACATGAGCATATTTAATTACTAGTTAATTTAAATATATTTTTATCATATAATTAACTTTAGTTGAACTCTGTAAACTCTTAATGTACAAATGTATTTCAAGATTTTGCTTATTGAAATCAAAACTGAAAAATACACAGCAACTACATAAATACAACTATATAAACAATCAAGTGGTCTGAAGACATAATTACCGCAGAAAAAGAACATTTCCCTATGGATCAAGTTACGTAGGCTCAAGTAATCAACACATAACATGAAAATAGCATTGTGAAGGGAAATGCTTTGGGTTGCCAAAGTATAGGATGTTTGAAAGTGGGTTGCCACCCCAAAAAGTATGGGAAGCAGGGCTGTATGCCATGTATCCATTAACCTAGGTTTTTAATGGGAATGAGTAATAAATCATACCTAACTCTAATTAGAATTTAACATAAATTAGAACTTAATGAAATCTGAATTAAAATTTAAATATTGCACCTTTATGTTAAAATTTTAAAATTATGAGTCAATTTATGTTTTACAGGACATTTCATCAGAGGTGGCACCAGCGGGGAGGGGCTGGGGAGCCAGGGGCCCCCGTCGGGGAGAGCTAGCCACTACCTCCCACTCCCTCGCACTCTTGTTTTATTCAGAAATTAACTCTGGCCTTATTTGACAGTCAATGAATGACAGCTGCCTCGGCCATCCACCTGGTGTTTACTGTTAGTTGTACATCCATTGTGCAATGACATGCCCAGGGTTCACCTTGATGTCCATCCAGGGTCCAGCTTATCTGGTGCTGCATAGTTTTACAACACAATGAAGGATTATCAGTAAAGAATTATCGTAATAATTATCACTGCGCTTTTGATCACTGACAAAAACGTCAATGTTGGAGTTATGCGTGTAAACACAATGCTTTGTGACCCATTTCCAAATGTTTACACAGATATACAATTAACAGGATACTATATTTTTGCTTAACTAATCAAAATGTGTTTCTAGAAGTTGTGTAAATTCACAGAATGTCATTTCTGAGCTATGGCTTAATATTTAGAAAATTCCTAATCAAAAATAAAAGGCATAACAAAACAATTATTAATATACAGCCATTCCCCCAGTGATGGATGTCTAGTGGTTACATAGGGGCCCCCAAGGCTTAGGTGTCAAGGCACTAGAGTCAGGAAAGCCTCAAGAAGCTATGTGTACCTAAGTATAGTTATAATAATGATTACACAGTAAAATGTAGTCATCCAAAATGGATGTATTTATGAAGATTTTTAACTGGGTTTACTGTACATGGGTCTAGTGCTGCAAAGGGGCTCCAGTGGCATCAAGTGACAAACATTTTGACTGAACTGAATCACAATTGTTGCCTCTGTTTTAAGTTTTATTAATGTCTGTTATGTTTCGTTATTTCTTTTCCATATTAAATATTAATGACATTTCCATATTAAATATTAATAACATTGACTTCTCAAATGATTTTGTAAGATTATGGAATACATATTCTGATTGAGTGACTTTATAACATTGCCACATCAAATAAGATAATACACTACAGTATAATCAAAACATAAATAAATAAAACAAATAAATAATAACAAGACTGACAACAAGAGACTAAATGATTAGCTTTTGATTGCTGAATATGGTAAAAATTATTATATATACTGTAAAACTTTGATACTAAATAAGTGTCCAATTAATAGAGGTGTCCCCTGAATAGGGGTTGACCATAATGTTAAAAGATATACTTTCCCTTGTTTAATGCCCAAAAAGGTGTCTGATTACTGCAATAGGGGTGTCACCTAAATATGGGTTGGCCATTTTCCATAATGTTATAAGATATAGTTCCCTCATTTAGTTCCCATAAAAGTGTCTGCTTAATACAGGTGTCCCTTAATAGGGGTTGGCCGTAATGTTATAAGATATACTTTCCCTCGTTTTGTGCCCGAAAAATGGTCCCTTAATAGAGTTGTCCCAAAGACGGGGTTCTACTTTACTGTATTCAATTCAATTCATTTTTATATAACAACAATACATTTGAAACAAAATTTATCAAGACAATTAAAATAGTGAAATATTGCTGAAAAAAAGGAGACGCTTTAAAACTCTTCCGAGCTTGGCATACAGTGTTTCTTCATAAAAATCCGAAATTAAAATCTAAAATCAATTAAAATCACTACACTTGACCTACAGGACACTTAACTACCAATAAAATTAAAATATTAAAATTGTGATATAGAATGACAGTCTTGTACAAAGTTATTTTGAGTAATACAGTAAAAGATTTTGAGTAAAATGATAAAAACCCCAAACTAAACTTAAACTATTGTATAAGATCTGCAACCAGAATTCTCGAACATTCTAATATTTACACAATGCATGTCACAACAATGATGTAATTTGACGAAATTAAGAACACAATAGAATCGCTATCACTTTATCTCAAAGGCTTAATCTCGCAGTCCAAAACAAATAGATCCATAGAGAAAAAAAAACAGTTAATATACACAAGATGTTCTACATTGTTCTTTTAATTGTACAATGGTGAACTGTATTATAAGTCTGGACACACCAATATTTAGTGTGTGCCACTGTTTGAAATGCGAGTGCCAAAAAAATTCTGAATTTGAGAGTTAATCACATACAAGCTGGGCTTCACGGTGAGAGGTTTGGTTAGGGGAGTGTGTCTGTTTCAGTGAATAACACAATAATAACAATACTAATAAATGTATAACCTTCACACCTAAGGATTTAAGGTGCGGATAAAATGGGACCTCACATGGGACCTCTAAGCAACGCTTGACCATCGTCTCCGTCGGGCAAATCCTGGCTCCACCACTGCCTCGGATCTGCTGGGAAACTTCAATATCTGAATTACCTACTTTCAAACATTGTTTGTATTATTTCTCCCGACGAAAAAAAAAATGCCATCAGTTATAATTGCAGTGCCCATTGCTACTTGGGGATCACATTTATCATCACTAACTGGAGTTCCAAGTCTGCCAGAAAGTGCAGGAGTCTCCGGAAAATCAGCATAGCCTCCCGCAAAAAATCTCCCGGAAAATAACTCACCTCCCACAAATTCATAATAATTTGCATGTAAATTTTACTACTTACTTCAATTGCCTCATGGAAGTAAGTGCTGACGGTTTTTACCATGCACAGCAAAAAAAATAAAAAAAAATTGGATTGGATTGCATGGGATGCTGGACGGGATTTTTACCAACTTGGGACCCCTGTACAAGCCACTAAGCACAAGCTTGGTGGTCTAGTGGTTAGGACACTAGGCTAGTTATCTAAAGGTCGTGGGTTCGAGTCCCAACCGAATAACTTGCAAGATTTTTTCCCCCAAGAGAACGTACTAACTTTCAGGGTAACAAGTAAGGTGGGGCAAACATCATTCACTAGTCCACACATCAAGCACCATGAGCATCTTATTTGATGGATAGCGGCGCTATACATATTTTAAATAATTTATAAGCTTTTAATTAGAATGAACAAAATTATCGGCCATATAACTGATTTTTCCTACGTTCTTTTGCATAGACACAATTGGCTGGAATGAATTTTTGTAACAAAAGAGCTAAAAAATGGGAGTAATTCGATTTGTGTTTAATTGGAAGTTAATCATTCTTTTTTCATACCTTGTTCCATATCAACCTATAGAGGACAGTATAGGACTATTCACAGATGTATTTTAGAGTTTTGATAAAATTTCCACAGAGAGTATACTATGTCACGTAGCCCCAAAAGTTTGCCAATGAAGTGTAGGAAAAAGGTGAAAAGGTGGGGAGCCCTAGAATATAGGCCAACAACTCTTTATAAAAGATGGTAAACACAATTTAGAAATCCACAGATTTTGTATTGAC